GCCGCCGCCCCTACCTCGCCGCCGCCTCCCCTACCTCGCTGCCGCCGCCCCTACCTCGCTGCCGCCGCCGCCGCCGCGGCGCGCCGCTCCCGACCGCCGCTCCGACATGTCGCCCGCGCCGCCGCCCCCACGCGCCGCGCCGCGCCGACCGATGACGTCACGGGAGGCCAGCCCCGGCCCGCCAGGGCCGTCATGGCCCCCGGGGTGCACTCCGCCGCCTAGTGTGCGCCTGCGCAGTGCGGAGGCTCGCTGCGCCCCCCCTCCAGTGCGCGCCTGCGCAGTGCGGAGGCTCGCAGCGCCCCCCAGTGTGCGCGCCGCGCGGCAGCCGGCAGGGAGGGGGAGCGGGGGCTTCCATAGGACGTAGTGTGATTAGCGTCGTGCAGTGGCTTCACAGCAGCGTTAGTTCGATTCACTGCTGGGAGAAGTAGTTATAGATACGTTATAATCCATCATTAGGGATCAAAACCTCTCCTTCCCTGACATTGGAGGCTAAATGCAGGTACTAGCTTGCTTTAAACAGCATGCCATCCACCTCATCAAACATATCATTACCACAATGCTTGGATTAGCTGGAAGCAGATGTAGAAGCCACCTTGGGTTCAAATGAGGGTCAGAAAAACAACAAGTGTAAGGTAAAAAACCAGCTCTTGTTAAGAAACAAAATAACTCCCACCGCTCCTATATCCCTCTCCCTGCTCCAGCTTTGAGATGATACCCCTTTTGTCAGCTGAATTAAAACTTTGGACACTTAAGTAACATAGAGCATTAAAATAGTTTATTTCTTTATGCTTACTACTGAACAAGTGAGCCACTGATTTGAACACGCTACACTGTTTAGCAGAAAAGCTCAGTGTGAAAGTTCTTGAACACATGGAAAAAGTGATCATTTAGTTAGAACATGCAACATGTAAACTTTAATAAACAAAGAAAAAAATCCAAGAAAAGTCAAATAGGCACTTACATTAACAGTAAAGAAATTTTCATTAATCTTTGAACACCATAGCAGCCTACTTGGAATTGCATTTGACTGAGCTTTGTTGCTGTGAATAATACAGCTCATGCACAGGTATTTGATGTATGTTTTGTACATTTTCAAGTATTCACTGAATACTACCAACATATATACACTCATATACATATAGTTCCAGAAGAAGATTTAGGAGAAGATTTTTAGAAGGTCACTCATTTTTGCTCATCCTTTGGAAGAGGTCTTCTGAAGAGAAGAATATGTGGTTCTGCGGAAACAAAATTGAACAAGCATTAGTCTGTTTCCAAGTCCTGATTGTAAGGGCTTCAGTTCAAACTCTTTTGAACAGGAACTGAAGCTTACTGTCAGATACAAAACAGTAAGAAATAAGAGACAGATTACCCATGTTCAAGAACTACTTTCCAGCATCCTTAAATAGATGTTTTCAAAGCTTTTATACAGAACTTAACAGTCCCTTAAATTTGTATTTACAGTACCTTTATAGTATTTACAGTAGGAAGACAGAAGAAAGAAAACAAAACAAACCCCACAGACACAGAGTCCTTGTACTAGTTCTGTCTGCACGCTGAACTCTTTCATGGGCTTTATTACTTTAAAAAACTAGCGATAATGGTCTCATCAGGTATATTCTTGCTATCTATAAAGAATCTACACAACCTATTTTAATTAACACAGGCAGCTCACACCACCTGTTTCAGTGTTATCTTGAATGACTGTTTTTAATACCCTGTAGTAAAGCTTTTAGCTTGTACTGTAGCTAGAGCTGATATTTTGGAGACTTTTCACAGTATTTACATAGGAACTCATTTAGGAGAGCATCTAATAGGATCTTGTGGATGTGAAAACTTACTGTTTCATGATAAAAATATGTAGTTGTGTAAAGTTTGGGGCCATCCCTCAAGATACTAGGAGATTTCAACAGAAGTTATGCTTATAGTCAGATGGAGAAAAAAAAAAAATCACATCTGGCATGTTTTGTCTAAGACTGTAGGTAGCCAGAAGTGGCTATTATTTTTACTGACCAATTCTGGGAGTGAGAAAGGGAAGTTTAGTCTAAAAGCTGCTACTTTCCCAAGAAGCTGAAGTAGCAAGCAGATAAAGAAGAGTGTAAACATCTCCTAGGAAGGTGCAATGGGATATAGAGCAAAAGCTGTTCTATACTCCAACATTCAGTTCTGGGCTATTTTAGCCTCTTTTGTTCATCTGTGCTTACCTGGTTCATGTATCATATAATGAACCCAGCCAAGGCTTTGTTGAACACCAAGTCGTCTCCATTCCTCTTCAGACATCAGATGGGTTTTTGGTACTTGTTTTGAAAGCTCTCTTGGCAGCATCACATGTCTGTAGAAGTTTAGCAGTTATTCTCACATTACATAACTCAAAGCCTGCACAGATCTATACTGAAAAATAGTTAAGCATATTCAGATATGAAAAAAAATCAACATCTCCTCTAGACTTGTGTGTGGTTGAGTACTACCAAAAAATTTAATTGGCTTGAATCTAGAAATTCACTGCCTGCAAAACATTCTATCTTCCTACTTCCTGAAGTAGGTAAGTCATTCCCTTCAATGCTGTAATTGTTCTGCCTGTAAAGAGGTACACATGCCCTTGGCTGCTAGGGGCATTTGAGGTGTATGAACTTCGCACTTTAGAGCAATTGATAAGATCACTCCTGTTAGTATATTGCAATCACAGGTGCGTTTTTCACCCCTAGGAGATTAAGGTGATGGTGGTTAGTAAACACAGAACATTAACTGCACTTAAAAGTTTCATCTGCCAGCTGCAGAGAGGCACAAAACCTGCTAAAGGTCAACTGATTAACTGACACGGTATTTCTGCATACAGAGATGAGCAAAAGCTGTTTGGTAACAACAATTTCGAGTGATCCCGAGATCCAGAGCCTGAACAGCACCAGCTAGGGAAGCAGTGCAAGGCGTTACTCGCAGCTCCGCAGGCGCTTCAGAACGCCCGGGCGCCGCCACCGGTGCCGCTGCCACGCGACCGCCGCCCGAATCTCGTTCCGGGGGTCGGATGCTCCCCGTCCCGGTGCCCAGAGGGCCTCGCCCTCCTCTCCTCTTTCGGCGCTCCCCGACGGGGTTAGCGCTGCCGCCCTCGGAGGCGGCTTAGGGCAGCACCCATCCCCTCCCCCACCGCCTCGCGCCCGCGAACTCCTCCCGTCACCCTCCAACGTCCTCATCGGCCGGAAGCCGCCGCGTACCGGTACTCGTACTGCTCGTCGAAGTACTTATCGGAGTAGTAGATCTGCTTGTGGGCCATGGCGCGAGGCGACGGTTGCGGCCGGTAACGGCTCAGCGCGCTCCCCTCACTCGCCTGCTCTCGGGCGTCAGCGCAGACTAACGGCCTCGCCGCGCCCCGCTCCGTTTGAATCGGCCAGCGCCGTGCTCATTGGTGAGCCGGCCAGCCAATGGTGCTCCGCGCCGCCGCCCCCGCCCCGCCCTCTCTCCGCTCCACCAATCCGTCACGGGAAGACGGTTGGGAAGCGGCGCGGCGGCAGCGCGCGCGCGGTGGTCCCGACGTGCGCGCGGGGCGCTGCCGCGCCATTGCCACGGCAACGGCGCCGTGCGCGAGCCCCAAGCGGCGCTCTGATTGGTCAGCTGCAGCCGGGGGCGGTGCGGCGCGGCGAGGGGCGCCGCGGGCGGTTCCAGCAGTTTCTAGAGCGCCTGGTGGCGGGATGCGCATGCGCTGTGACCCGGAGACCGTTGGGACCGTTGTAGCGGGCGGCGCAGCTCTGTGCTGTGGGAATGGCAGCGTGCGCTGTGCGGGCCTGGCCCGTGAGGGTTGCCCAGTGGAGGGAGCCGGAGTCCGCCAAGACATGCTAGTAAAGCTGGCGGTTACGTGAAATGTGCACACTGCCCCCCGTGTCAGTGACATGTTACATCTCCCAGGGGCGTAGTTGGGTTATGAACCGGGGTATGCTGAGTGCTGGCTGTTTCCACTGTTTCCATGTAAACACACCTGTGCCTCTGACGTTGTTAGGCAGTGGTTGCTGCTCAGGGCTGGAATTACAGGTTTTTTTTTTCTTGCAGTGCAGAGACTCTTGAGGGATGGTTGTGGTGTTCTGCATAGTGCTTTTGTGTTGGCCCTAGGAGCATGTTAAATAGGTAAGGAGTCAGCTTGGAGAACTACTGAAAATAAGTATGAGGGAGCCCAGACCGTTGGAGCCATGTGGCTTTTGTGGGAGCAGGTTCCCACTACTCTGAAGAGTGGAAATAGGACTCTGGGTGCCAGGAAAACAGTGTAGTTAATACTTGTGTGATAAGGTCAGAGGGCAATTTGTCAGAATTTCACTATAGGTTGCATTTTCTAGGTTTTGAATGTTATTTTTAACATGAAACGTTTTCAGTACATACATACTGGATTGTGCCCTTTTCCCAATTCAAGCGTACCGTTCTTGGATGTAACGGCCCCCTAGGCTTCGGTGAGCTCCTGTGATACGTATGTCACCACCAAGGGCGTTTATTTCTTCCTAACCTTTTGCATTCTGCACTTACAGTGGACCTCTGCTCTCCCTGTTACGCTTCTGAAGTACAGGAAGACCAGTTAAATTTTGTGTGTCTGTGTGCAGTCCCTCTGAATACATAATAGATATGGCTGAAAACAGTTTTCAGAGGCAGAAAGTCAGCTCCGCATCCACGTGAGGCTCTCTTGCTGGCACATTATCTACCCACGTTCGTGGGTGGCTGTTGTTCTTTCTAGCAGCAGCTCACTGAAAGTGGCCTTGTTGCAGCAGCCTGAATGATAAGTTAAATGCTAAAGTTTAAACATTCGCATAACCCATAAAAGGTGTTTGCTCGTCTCTAGCAGATATCACAGCCATGGGCTAGGGTTATGATTACTAGCTATGGGCTGGTGCTTCCCATAGCCCACCTGTAATACTTTTCACTGGATTCAATTCAGGATATAATTCCTAAAATTAAAACCTGGAAATGGGGATTATTTTATGAGATTACTAAAGCAAAATAATAAGCTTGCTGAATTGGATACTTTTTTTTTTTTTTCATAGTGTGTTACACATAAAGGATCTGACAGTCATCACTAAATAAAGAGCTGTCCAGAAGGAAATAGTGTTCCGTAATCTATGTGGAGAAAATGAAAGTGCGGTAAGGCACTTCAGTAAGGTAGGCTCTGGATAGATATTAGGGAACATTTCCTATCAGTATCTAATCCCAATTTAACTATATAAATAAGAACTTTTTAAAGCAACAATTTGGAAAAAAAAACATGCAGCAGAAATATTTTAAGTAAAACTGATCCTGCCTTTGATCAGTGATCTCTTTTAATCCTACTTTTCTGAGGTTATTTTAGTTAGGCCTTCCCTTTTTAACTTTTGCCTGGCTGTTATGTGTAGAGATGAGGACAATAATTGCATGTTCACATGAAGTAATTTTCTTTCTTCAGTACTCTAGAAAGATGGTTTCATCATAATTGTAGCACTGAATTTGATACTCCAAGAAGAATTAGGTTTATTAAGTGCTGGAATCAGATCCTGTTTGAGAAGTTTCACAGCTGAGGAGCCAGGAGATAAGTGAATGAACCATGAATGTCTGCATTTATCAGAGAGAAAGGCTGCGCTTCAGCTAACCCGCACTCACTCACTCATGTCTTGGCGTGCTCAAGTGGAGCCGGTGTCAAGGACCTGTGACTGGAGATGGGAGACCACTGCCAAAGAGAGCCCGTGTATCCATGTTCCGTGTCGTTGGTTGACAGAGTGCCACAAAACAAACCTCAGGAAGTTTCCTCGTGGTCTGAGGGGCATCCGTGTGTTGGGAGAGACCTGTGAGCTGTAGAGGTGGAGAGCGCACTGCTCCTCAGCATCTGTACAGCTGGCTCTTGCCGCTGGAACAGAGGATACACTGTAAAAGTGTTGGGAAGGTGAAAGGAGCTTCTTCCTCTGTTCTGTAGCTGTTTTTAGGAGTGTATAATTTTGTCTGAGGGCAATTATAGCTCTGCAAGAGCAAGAGCAGAGCTCCGCAAGATGCAAAGTTTGCCATTAATGGTTTACATTACATTTGTGATTACATTTCTCCAAAGCTTTTTTGTGTTTCATTCTACACAGTATTTGAGAAACTTGAGTTACATACACATTTACAGTGATTCTGTTTTCAAATGTATCCTCATAAAACACTAATGTAGCATACTTGAACGTGCTTTCCTCGGTAGAACAAGAGTGCAGTCAAGGAATCTTTTAAGGAATCTTCTGTACTGGCTTAATGAGTCATAGTCCTACACACCATAATTTGTGGAGAATTTAAGTGTGAATCACATTCATAACGTTTATTGATGAACTACTGTAATCAGTTCTGTTGCATTTTTAATCAGTTTCCTATGGAAACAAGGTTTAAGCAGTTGTGCTTTCTCTTAGTTTTGATCCTCAAATAGCTTTTGAACCTATTGGTTGGTTTTAGCCAAACTTGGCAGAAATGTTGATAAATAAAATCTTGCACATTTCATGATAATGGGCGTCTTGATAGAGCAGAAGCAGTTTTACTTGGGAAGTAAAATAAAAGCCAGCAAAGAATCTACATGAGACAGGGGCCTTGCAAATGCCTCAATGCTAAATATCCTTCAGCATTTGGAATGAGTGCCTGCTGGGACATGAAAGACAGTTATCCACAAAGCAGTAGAAAGTAACTCCCCATTAATTCTGATATTCTGTAAAAACATTTTATTTGTTATTTTATATACTAGTTTTAAATGATACTTGCCTTGCACTTTAAAAACTCCCCTAAACCTAAAAGCACTGGTTCCACTGATTTAAAGCAGGATACTCATGAGGCAATATGAGTATAATTAACAGTATTTGGTTTGGTTTTGCTACAAACTTGATCTTCAAGATCAATTTATCTTAATGTAGATGTGTAAATTTGGTTTTATTGCCTCATTTCAATTTGAAATAATTTTCATAAGTATTGAGTAGTTTATATGCTAATTAACTCCTCCTTAGTTAATGGAAGAAAAAAATATGGGTATTTTTGGTCTTATTTTTCAGTTCACAAATGAGAACTAAGACTTGGAAAGACTTTTTTTATGGTTTAGCCATCTTTAAATAAGCTAGTTTGATTCCTGGCAATAGTTTACCAGAATTACTGAGGATTTCCACTCAGGAAGAGGGAAACTTGACTTGAGAAATAGGCCCAGATGAAGAAGTTAACCTAGATAGGGCTAATGTGTTGGATACTCCTTCCAGTACTTGAGCTAATTTGAGAATTGGCATTTTGAAGGCATACCTGAATAAAATAGGCAGAACAGGAGCCCAGTCTACAGGTAAGGATAATGAGCCAACAACTAAAAGATCTCTAGCGTGAGAGCTAGAGATTCATTCAGGTTTAGCCTCCAGCTTGGTGGCTGGAGCCCATCTTGGTCATTTCATTGATATTTAATTCTATTTAACTCTCTTCCTATGGATTTTAATGTGAAAAAAAGTGATCAGAATCTTATCTGATTGTATCTTAAAGGAGCTATGCTGAAGTATTCCCAGCTATGCTGAAGTATTCCCATCTCAAAAAAAAATCAATAACGCTGAATTTAGGAGATGGTGATTTCCATAGCAACTGGAGCTCATACAACAAATTCAGGATGATAAGGTATAATGACTGCAGAATCAAGCACAAGATGATGCCTAAGGAGGCACAGTCCTGCGCAGATTTTTCTTGTGGATTCTGTTACATAACATCATCTCAAAGTGGTCCTGTGGAAAAAGTCACTAGTGGAATCTTACAGACTTTTTCAGTCATGGAAGTATTTGATCCAGTGATTAAATGGTTTTAATAACAGCTTTATTTTAAAACAAAAATGGCAGTGTTAGGTCTAAGAAAAAGTCCTTTCAGTCAAACATGTCAACAGCTTTTTATAATGGATGCACTTGGGAAGAGTGTAGGAATCTGGCAAGTACCTGAGGATGCCTTCTCAGATTACTGCGAGGCTCTAGTGATTACTGATCAGGGACTTTGTTACATGTAACAGCCTGAGTGTGTTTTTGTTTCTTTATCTTTTCCACTCATTTTTAGGCCTGTTTTACCCTCTGGAATTCACAATATCTTGTTGCAAGGAGTTCAGTGCTTGAACAAGTTCCTCTGTGAGAACAAGCATCTCCTTTTGTTTGTGTTAAATCCGCCACATCCTCCTCTTTTTGTTTGTTTGTTTTTGTTTTGTTCAGTATTGGAAAGGGCTGTGAATAATTTACTCATCGTGCCAGATGTCTGTAGCTTCCAGAGATACGTCTTTTATCCTAGACAGTTATAGTTTGGGACTTGAACTTGGAGAAGCCTAAAATACAGGCTTGTTTTTGCTTATGTAAGTATTTCTTCA